CCAGCGGGCAGCGGTTTTTTCTCTTTTGGCTGCTGTCGCGGCTTTTTTGACGGGTTGGGGGAATGAAAGTCGGAGTCTGGTTGGTGGTGCCCTGTCACCTGCCACTGAACGGGGGCGACTTTGATGATGGGAAAATAATGAAGCCAGTTTGGGGGGGGGGTTCGAGGTTGGTAGTCTTTTCAGGTTGGCTTAAAGGGAAACAAAAGGAGATCTGACCCAACACAAACCCAAACTTCCAGCCTTGCGGAGTGCCTATTTTTTACACGATCGGCGTCGGGACAGATGAAACCCGCAAACAACCCACGAACTGCCTGGTGGTCTGCATCAGTTTGTAGTGCTTGGTGTTGATGGGTGGGGATGGGAATTAAGCTTCAGATTGGGCATGAGACCATCTTCCATTTGCTTAAGCCTCCCTGAAAAAAAGAGAACATGATTCCAGTATCCAATCACTCCCAATTACAAGAACAACCCGGGAAAACAAAAAAAAAACACACCCAAAAAAAAAACAAAACAAAAAAACATATATTCCTTTTCAGCCAATGGAAGCCATGGATACTCCCCCGCCCCCCCACCCCATTGGCCAGGCCTGCAGGATCCGGTCCCCTAGGTGCAGCTGGTGCAAGCGGTTGCCCGCGTTCCAGGCCGGCACCAGGCCCTCCGCCTGCCGAATGCACCACGGGCGCGGGGAAACGACACAGCGTCAGGTGCCAGCCGCGTTCGAAGGGAACTCGGGGGGGGAGGGGAGTTGCCAATCTCCAATAGGCATTGAGAATAACAAGGCATGGGAATGATGATCGTTCCGGCTCTCTGAATTGCCAAATGTTGGCAAATTTGAGGAACCGAAAGGGAAACCTCACTTCCCGAGTGGATCCAAACTTGTTATTTACCACTAAAATGTGTGAGAAACTAACCATTTGCCCCAAGAAAAACACGAGGAAGGGCCCACCCAAGTAGAACCCCCCCTACTGAATGGATCGGTCCTCTCTGCCTCCACCCGTGCGAGCTCCAGCTGCTCGTTGGTCTTAAAGCCCAACTTCTCTTTGGCTTGCCGCTGGAAGGTCACCCCTGAGGCAAGTGCAGCTTTTCGGCACCAAGATGGACTCTGGAATCAGCCACGCCGGTCCTTTTGGTCAAAAAGATCGACGGGTCAGTTTGTGCCAGTCCGTTTGGTTGGGACGCCCCCCCAATTCTCTCCCCTATTTCTACCCCCACCCAGTGGAAAAAGGGAATCGCCCGAAGCTGCGGGTTGGTCTCAATGAGAACGTGGCCTGGACACACGATGTCTCTTCTATTTGCTGAAGGGGGGGGAGAGACAAAACTGACACTTTGTCGGTTGGAATGAAAACCAACAGGGTTAAACAAGAGATACCAAAGATCTTCACTCTTCTTGGCAGTCTTTTGGTGCTCTTTCACTGCTCTTTGAGCACATTCTCAGGTTGGTGGATCCGAAAATGGATACCGCATCCCAAAAGGCACCCTAGATCACACTTGGGATGTTTCCGCAAATCGTGGGTTTTGCATCACGCCGTGAAGGCCAAAGCAAAAACATGGTGGTCCAGCACTTGCTGAGCTAGCAGGCCACCAACGGGAATCACAGGGTAGCTTGCTGGCGGGCTCGGTGCTTAGTGGGCAGCTCAATCTTGCCTCCTGCTTTGGCCTTTCCCAAGGTTGGTGTGTTTCGGGGGCAGCACTGCGCTTGGTGTCCAAAACAAATCATAATAGAAATCAGAGGTACAAGATGAGAATTGGATGCCGACAAGACCAGCTACAGGCAACACTTCTCCCTGTCTCACGTCCATCACCCAAGCAACCCCTGGGCGTTCCCAAACGCAGCCCTTGAAGCGTTACTACGATCTCACTTGGAGAAAGCCCCAGGAGGCCCACAAATTCCTATGACGCGTGCCGTTGCCAGGCCACCAAAGGTGGACATCGCGTTCTGGCGCAGCAGCGTCAGCCTCACGGTCTTGCCTCAGTCTCGCATTGGAATCCTCCCGGCCCCAGTTGCCCAGTGACCCGCAACGTGTCTAAAAACGGAGGCCATGTCTGTTCTGGATTGGCAAGTCATGTTTCAGCGCGCCCCTTACCCACAAACCAGCCGACAAGGTGTTGGATTGCGGGCCTCCTTTGGTTGGTTTTGAAGGGAAGCTCAAAAGGAAACCACACCACTGTATTCTTTGATGTGTGACTTTGTCGTTAGTTTGTTTGCATGTTCCTTTTTTGAGGGGGGGCCTAACAAAAATGACACACCCACATCCAGCAACAGAACCGTTGCGCACCTCTGGCCACTGGGCCATTGGGCCATCCGGGCGAGCCGAGTCGCTCTTCTTGAGCTCCTCCAGCGCCTTTTGGCCCGCAAAGCCATTCACCTCTCGAAGCCGAACTCGACTTCTGGGCGATTCAGGAGCTTTTCTGGGCCAAGTTGTGATGCTTTGGCTGGGTTGTGATATCCAGAAATCGCTCCACGAAATGAGGTTTCAGAAACCTCATATCCTTAAATAGTCCATGAGGATGGCTCGCCTTTCTAAATTTGGACCCCCTCAAAATAGCAAGCCGTGGTTTCCCTTGTGGTTTACGTTCAAAACCACTTTCAAAACTGGTTCCCAACTCAAAATAGTGCAGACACACCCATGGGGGTGGCTTGAAGGGAACCCACCCCCAAATGCCATCTAAGGGACCCGAAACCGCCGCGGCTTCTCAGAGGGTGGGTACATAAACGTATGCATCAAGAATTATGTGCATGCACAAACATATGTATGTGTGTATATGGTTGAATATCTTCGTATGCAATTCTTTATGTATGAAAAACAGTCTAGGCCCCGTTGATTGAATCAGGTCCTTGGGGCCAAGGGGCCGATGGCTCATCGGCGGCTTGCGTCGGAATGGAGCAGGGATTTGGCCAAGGTGGGGAAGCGCAAGGCCCACACCAATCCAAAACTCCGAAGGCAAGCTGACTCACAGGAACTGTCTAAATTGCTGAGTTATACCCGAAAGGTACATCAGGGAGCACCATGACGTTCAGGAACTTACTACATTATTCCCGAAATCCAGGAAGTCCAGACTACCCTTAGAACATGCTTCAAGTCCTGCACGTGTGGGCAGAGGTTTCGGGGTCCTGGAAGACAATTTTCATTGAAAATGGACCCATTATGTCTCCGGTGAGACTCCATGACAACGTGGACAGGATACCGAAGCTGCGCAGTTCAGCGGAGCTCGGCGTCGACGCCGGCCTCCAGCACCTGGTCCCCCACCATGGCGGCCTCCAAAGGCTCGCGGGACCCGAGGCGAGGCCGGGCAGGCGCGGTGGGGGAAAATTCCCAACGCTTTGGGCCCACGGACCCTCCCAACACACACACACACACAAACACACAGACTCGATCAGACGCGCACATCCACCCCACCCCCCTTCCAAATCAAACCCACCGTGGGCAAGATTGAAATGTTTGAACAACCAAAAGTTGGGCTTCTCCGATCTGAAGCGTGGCAACCCAACTCCAAGGGCCCTGAAGTCTGGCTCGTGCTGAATGTTTCCCGTGAATCGGGAGGACAACCTTCTTGGCTCTCAACTGAGAGGATGACCCCGAGCTGAAACACCCCGTGTGGCTTCCTTCAAAGGGAGGATCCCTGGCTGAAATGCACTGACGGCCATTGCTCCGGCTGGCGTTCAAGACGGGGGCACCCCAAACCCTAAGCCACAAGCCACCCTTTTTCTCATTAAGTTGTTTATCTTCAACAGCCTGCAGGCGCTCAAATTCACATGTCTGTCCGACTGGCATATTCATGTCAGGTATCGCCTCAAATTAAACTACTGAAATTCAAGATAAACTAAGGATGCCCAAGGGGCTTCGCCGTGGGTGAAACCGCTTGTTTCTCCTCGCCAGTTATTTTCTGTCCCGACGGCCGGCAAGAGCTGCCCCAAAGTGAGACTCACGTGAGGCCAAAGCAAAGAATAATAATAATAATAAAAGATGCCTTTTCTCAAACAAAAGGACCACCCACCAACTAAAGCATTCCCCTCCCTGCCCCACCGGAAGGCTTTTCCAGGCCCGCGCCTGGGCGGGGCGCTGGCGGTTCCAGGCGGCCAACACGCCGCCGTCGTGGACTTTGGCGATCTTCCGGGCGTCCAGGTCGAAGCCCGGGCCCTGGCCCTGGACGAGAGACGAGCACCTCTTGCCCCAAACGGTCAACCCTCACCACTTTGAAGCCATGAAAAACCACTGTCGGTCGGTATTTACAGGGGAATCGAATCATTCCAGGGTTTCCTTGGTGGTGCAGCATTGTGTCCTGTCAGCGAAGCCCGCTCAAGAATGTGAGACGAAAGAAGGAAGGGCGCTGGTGAATTGTTGAGAGCTCACAGTTGCAGACGACAGGACTGCGGATGAATGCGAAATCCTTGAGCCTCGCACCACCCAAGAGAAACCGTGGGAATGAAACCAGAACGTCTGTTGGTATTTGCGTTTGGGAATCGAATCATTCCAGGGTTCCTTATTGCGCACCATCCACAGTGCGGGTGCTTCTCAAACTGGGTGGACCCCCTTTTCGTTGATATTTGGAGGCAGGCCAGAAGGGAAACCCGCCATTTTAGGGAACCCTTATTTTGGGAAACACCCCTGTATAGCCATATTCACCCTTGTTGTTGTCACCCTGCAGCGGCCGTGCGGAATGGGACACCTTCCTAGATGTACGTAGCAATCTGTGCAGAAATCGCATCAAGGACTAAGGGGATGCCAGTGGCCTCTGTCTTCCAACACCTTCCTGTCAGCTTCTATGATTGTTGGAGGGAGGGTATTGCCGGTGGTGCCCGGTTAATCAAAGGGTGCCACTCTGGCAGGTTTCAGTGGAGAGGGAATCTTTAGCACCAAATGTTCACGCAGTGTTGGTAGTGTTGAACCCCTGGTTGTTGCGTAAAGCAGGGTTCGGTTGGAGAGGCGAAGTCCACACTTGTAAGTAAGCGGTAGCAGTTTGAGGGGCTCTCACAAAAACATGGGGTGGGTCGTGCTAATGATGTCAAAAGGAACTGGGCCAGCCAAATGAAAAACCGAAACAGAAACAAGCAAGCCATGCTACCCCCCACCCCACCCCACCCTCTCCCAAAAACCTGATCCGGAAGTTAGGCCCAAACATTGGGACCTCGTCGAATGGTTGCTGCACCGAGGTCCCAAGGCGCCTCGTGACGCAGCTCCAGAATAAAAGTGCTCCCCGTCGCCCCGGCGGCACCCGCTGGCCCAGCCGCCTGTTGGGGGGGGGGGAGAACAGCCTACTTGGAAGTTCGATTCGCCAAGTCAACCCACGAGTAACAGGGTCAATTCCGCTTTGGGGGACTTATAATTGCTTAGACCTAGGCTACCAACAACTTACTAACTTCGCCGAGTCTGGACAAATCGAACCCCTCGAAGTTGTGGGCTGCTTTGCACCCAGGCATTCCAACTCCGGGGGGATGGAAGGGTTCTTGACTGCCTTCTTGTACCTTGATGTCATGCATAAGGAGAAAGTCGCAAAAGCCGTTATTCATCACAATTGAGCTCACCATGCCCTCCCATGGAGGGTTGCTGCGCAGAGTCTGGTGTTTCCTGCGGGTAGGAAGCCAACGAGAAAGGCGTCCTAAATAGGAGACCAACGCATCACAGCCCATCGAAAAGAGGGGCCGAAAGGGAACAAAAACAACGATGAACAAAAGGAAGAATTTATGCAAGCAACGCCTACGTCCTTGGAATCTGGAGGCATCCTTTCAAACACCTTCCCCACCCTCAAGGAAAAAGCAACAAAAACTCCCGTTAGCCGGGGTCAATCCCAAAACCAAGGGGTAGCTCAAACTTGACCGATTGGGAAGGCCCAGCCTTAACACCACGGACTGGAATTGCGATAGGAAAGCATATTGTATTTAGATCTGTCTTCATGTGGCTGCTTTCAGATCCTAATGTCAGCCACATCCAGAATTCTATAGACGAGGCAAAGGGAAAGAGAATGAGAACCAAGATGATGAATGAAGAAGAGTCCATTTTCCCAGCCAATTAACTCTTTCCCATGCTCTCGTTCCTTTGGTCACTTCTTCATCCATCGGTACAAACCCAGAAGAGAATAATTGGAAGAAGAAGAAGAAGAAGAAAGACAGTAGATAGATGAAAAGAGACAATAGATAGATGAAAAGCATGTAAGAAGTTAAAACAAAGAATAGACAAGAACAAAGTGAATCATGAATTGATAATACAAGAATACGAAATTATTTAACCTGCGTCTCCTGGCCACACCCCTAAAGTTGGAGAGGATAATAATGGAAACATGTCCAAAAGAAGGATACAAATAGCATCAGAAGCTAGAACACGACCACGAAAAAGAACCACTATTATTGACAGGCTTCATATGTTTGTGTTAGTTCTCTTAATAAATCGCTAGATCAAATATGAAAACTATAAATCAAAAAAAAAAAAAACTAAAGTAATATAGGAACCAACGTATGGGAAGTTAAGCCTAACATGTGTCTCCAAAGGCGACATTGGGAAGAAGGCGTCCCCTGCGGTTTTTGTGGCTGCCGTTATTGTTGTGAGTCTCCTATGTCTCGCCCAAAAGGGCACAAGGGTCGGCCTCCTGCCAACTGGTGGTTTCCAGATTGGTGGTTTGGTGGTTGTGGGGAGAACTTCCCATTTATCCTCTTCAAGAAGCAGGGGTGAATAGGCCAATGTGGGTATTTCGACCGTTCGTGCAACACGAGCCAGCCTCAGGCTGCACTGAAGACATGGCGCCCCATCGCTTCTGGGAGTCCTCCAAAGCCCGCAGAACGCAAACCGCCCCCCGCTCCGGAACTTTGCCCGGTGCTGCTGGCAAAAGAAAAAACGCTTTCTCGCGGAAGTTTCCTGAGACCCCCCAAGCACACCACCCCCCCCCCAAAAAAAAAAAAAAAAAAAAACTAAAACTGATCTATTCTAGTCTTTCCCCTAGGGGGGCTGTGTTTGGGAGGGGGGTCCCCCTTCAGGGATGTGTGACTTCGGGGGTTGATCATCTTTAGTGCGGAATCCACCAAACAAAGGAAGTCAAGTTTGTTCCTGACAGGTACGGAAGTCTCTCTTGGTTTTGAGAAGGCACGCCCACCGGAAACGGGTAACCAAGCTGCGAACTACCACCAAAGGATACTTTCCAAAGGCATACAAGGTCCAAAGTCTGGGGGAAGTCGGGTGCAACATTCTCCCTCACCTTTTCTGCCGCCAGCTGGCAGGAAGGTGGGCTGGGAAGGGGAGGAAAGTGGGCCATCTTTTTACAGGCCTTACACTGTCCCTAATCACCGCTGCGAAAGGGGAAATGGGGATTTCCGTCACAGAGACATTGAAAAAACAAAAAGACATCACACCTTCCTGAGGCCCCCCTTGCACAGTGTTGGTTGGAGGAAGGGCAACTGGCAGACTCAACCCCTCTCCTCAATCGGGCCCAAAGCAGACAAATTCCCTTCGATCTCTCCAAGAAACCATCAGAAGAACAAAACCGAGTTGTCCATCTTATCAAACGGCATGCCCAGTCCACGTCTTTCAGCGCTGCAGGAACTTAGCGCTTCCCCCAGTCCTTGGGCCACTCCGCTTGGCACTCCTTGAGGCTGAAGAAGCGCTGATTCTCCGCGTCGAAGCGCCGCTCCGCCCGCGCCACCACCAAGCCCAGGGCTGCGCCGCCGGCTTTCGCGCCGGCGGACTTCATCTCCTCGGGCGAGAAAAATCCCCCCGACGTCCCAAGAAACACCCAGCCCTTTCCAGGAGCCACTGGAGTTCCCAAGTAGTTCCACTTCTATTAGCCCAAACTGACCTAAGGCAGCTATGGTCGGGATAGCACCATCTCTTTCGCTTCAAACCGAACACTTCGGCTCCTGTCACAAAATGGCCAAGAAGAGGAAGACAAAACAAAACAAAAAAAAGTCTGCGCCCAGCTACACCTGCTGCCTCAACAGCCTCCGTTGAACATATGTTGCCCCATGCCGTGTTGAATCAGGAGCCAAAAAAAAAAAAAAAAAACGTGCTGGGCGTCCCCCAACATCGCCGCTGCCCCGGTCTTGCGGTTGGCCTGCAGGATCCTGTCCCCCAGTCGCAGCCTCACGGACGCCAAAGTGAGTCCATATGGCCCAGTGACATTGGACCCCAATTTGTAGAGGGCTCCAAGCAACACAAAGTCCGCATGCAACGAATGAGAGGGGCGTCTCTGCCAAGAACTCTGTCTGTCTTTGTTGGGACCCTCCAAACTTGTGGCTTTCCTTTTGGTTTCCCTTTAAAATCACAAGAATGCGGTACCCTCCACACAAAGCACACTCCCATAAAAAGGACACAACAGCAAATATCTCGATGTTCAGGGAGCTTGTTGATGGGGTTGGCGGCGTTCCACAGCTGCGCTACGCCGCCGCCCTCCATGCGTTCCACCTCCATGGCCTCGTTCCGCGCGGTTGGGGACAGCCCCGAGCCCGGCTGTGTCATGTTTTTGAGGATTGGGACCAACAACAACAAAAAAGCGAGCAACGGTGTTCCTACTACAGAAACGGGGTATCAACTCAAAAATGAAACAGACCCAATTGGGATACCGGAACAATTACCATTTGGAGTTTCAAAAGCTCCAAGTGGGTGAGCAGGGGATGGTCCCAACCATTGGGCGTGACCGTTTGGGCTCTTTACCTTTGGTGCGTCCATGGCATAGGAGAAAGGATGTGCTCTTTTTGCGTAGTCCCCTTTTTGGCGTCGGTTTCTGAAGGGACCCCACAAGGAAGACCACCTTCTTTTTGGGTCCCCTGTTGTGGAACATGCGCAAAAATAGACACATGTAGGGCGAATGTAGGGATGTCCATGCTGTTTGATTCAGGCCAACAGCTCAGGCCGAAGGTTGACCTTTTGAGGGACTGGTTTGGCTTGGCGCTTGAAGGAAACCAACAGCAAATCGGGGGTAACAATTTTGGGTGCGGGGCCCATAACTCGATGTTGAAGGGCAAATCCATCGAAAGCAAAACTTGGAAATGCCATTCATGCACTTCCTTGAAAAACACTCACCAAAACAAGGGAAACCATTTTTTGGAGGTCTGGCTTCTCCCCAAGTCCAGTGGTCCCTATGTTGCCCCCTTTAAAGCATCACCCCTGCCAAGGCAGGTATTCACTATAATATGGCCCCCTCCAAAAAAGAAAACCCCCGGCAAACCAACGACCTCCTCCCCCGTCCCCCCCTTCCTCTCCCAACCACGCCCGACTACCCAACCACCCAACCACCGAACCACCCCGAACCACCCAACCCCCCCGACCACCTTCCCACAAGGTGATGTTTAAAGCCACCCTTTCAGGAAGAATCTAGGAATCGACCCCTGTCCAAGTTCAATTCGCAGGCCAGGTAAGGGTAAGCGTTCCACCTATTGGCAAGGTGCCAACTAGTAAATGGCAATATGTTCACCCCTGAAGTGGCATATAATTTATATAACCCTACAAGAACCCATCCGTTTCTGAGAAAGCCACCAGTTGGTCAAAAAATAAGTTGGCAGTGAGCCCCGTTCTGTTCCAGCATTCCCTTGCACTTCTGGCCACCGGATGGGAGGAGACACTACTAGGCCCTACCCTCCCTGGAAAAAAAGATCCAACCTGATCTCAGTTTCTCTTCCTTCAAACCACGGCTTTTTCCACGGCCTTGTTCAGGCCGAAGCCCAGCTTCTCGTCGACCCGCGCAAACGACACCCCGAAGGTGCCGAAGGCGGCGCCCGATCCCCGCAGCACCACCAGGTCCACGTCCAGCTCCGTCTCCAGCAGGCGATGCCTGAGCACACCCAGAAAAAGAGGGAGGGGGGAGGGGGGGGGACTGAGTTTAAGTCTATCTTGGGGAAGTCAAAAAAGTAGATGCCTGGCGTTAACCCTGGAGTACCAGAAAAACCAGCGGTCTTGGTTGAGGCTTCTTCAACTGCCCAACCAACAATTGAGCTCCAAATTTTGGATACCACGAGCTCCTTCTTGGCTCCCTTCCAACCACCAGCTAGTTTGGTTGTGGCTTGTTTCTGTTTAGATTGTTCTTTTCGTACTCTCACCATGGTTGATTTTCATCGGGGGGGTGTCGAGCTTCATCTCTGTTGGAGTCAACACCCTCCTATTAAAAGGATGGGTGTATTGTTCAATCCGGGAACATTAAGTGCCCTCCCACCACATATGGAAGGCCACAGACACTTTCCTTCTGAACAATCAAACGGTACACTTCCATTTTGATGGAAGAGTAGAGTTGGGTTGGACGGCACCCATTAAAAAACCGAAACATATCACGTGTTCACGCGAGAAATAACATGCATCACTAACATGCCTTGTTGGATCCCCCTCTATCTTTGGAGGGAGGTCCACAAGCCCCATGAAGCGCACGCACACAACATAAACAACACACAACAATAATATGGCTGTGGCTCAAGAAACCGGTACCAAAATGGAACCCTGGTAAGTGGAAACATGGACCAAACCCTGCGTAACCCCTCCTGTTTAATTTTGAGCCACACCCATATGACAAGAGTTCTTTTTCTAGGGGTCACATGTTTCAATAGTTATAGCCATGTTTCACAACTCCATTTTCTGCAGCGTTCCAACCAAAAAAGATGTGCAGGGCCGACCCCTCACGAGTTTTTGTTCACGGCGATCCCTTAGAACCAACGCGGAATCTTTCTGGCAGTCCTCTGAACAGCCCTCTGGTGGGGCCATGGAACATAGGTGGGAGGGTGACATCCGATTTGCCTTTGCTAGGGGACTCTTAGAGGCAATTGCTTGCAGCCCCAAACCCTAAAAACCCAACGCCAGAGGTCCACAAAAACAACTTCCCCCACCCCCACACCCAACCTCCCACCCCCGCTCCTTGCCTCCCTACGTGCACGCCGTTGATCTCCACGATCCGGTCACCCACCGCCAGCGCGCGGAAGGGGTGCCAGGCATTCCAAACGGCCGCCCGGCCGTCGTCGAGCACCTCAGAAATGGTAAACCATGGGGCTACCGCAGCCCGTAGTTTGAACCCGAATGACACCATGGTTGAATTGTTGTTTCTATTACATTTGTTTTGCAGGGAAAGCCACCTATTTTACCAAAAGGACACGGTTGCAAAATCTATTTCACCATCTTGAATCCATGGTGAAACCCTTGTTGGCTGGTATTTACGTTGGCGACTCGAATCAGAATCCAGGGTTTCTGAACGGTGGTGCCGAATGGACTTCGCCCATCCAGTTTAGTTCAAACTATGGTTCTGCATCATGGTGAGCCCAGGGGCAAATTTATGTCCGGTAGAAGGAAAGCTTGGTGAAAGGCTGAATTGACATGGGAAAACAACCATTTTGGGGGGACCCCTACTGAACCCTCGTGAAGCAATTGCCCAGGGTTGCGCCATCCCTTTTAAATGGTTTAAACCACTGATTAAGCAACCTCCTTTTGCAGGGGTCAATGATTTCCCCCTCAAAAGTTGCAATTGACTGGTGGTTTCCCTTGAAATGATAGCCACTTTTGAGAAAACGAAATGGAGGAACCCCTCTTTTAGTTTTTCTAGGGGGGCCATGGGTTGTGTAAAAAGACTTTACCCTGTCAAAGTGAAAGTCGCCTTTCCCTTTTTTTTCAGGACCCTGTACAGAAAACCGGGATGCCTTTTCAACCACCCCCACCCCCACCCCACCCCACCCCACCCCTTCCCACTCACTCGGTGCCTGCACAACCTCCGCAGTGTCAGGGTTCACCTCCAGGCCAAAGGTGTCTGACTCCTGTCTCGAAAGACCCAGAAAAATTGCCGACCCTTTGGATCCTTCGCAAAAAATGGATTAAACCTGGGCAAGGACTCCATGTGCTTTGGACTTCAACTTGTCCATTCTTCAGCCCCAATCAAAGCGCGTCCATTTTAGAGGAACCCCAAGATGGTGGTGCTCCTCTTGTCCCTTTCAAGCCCACCCTCAAAATAAAACAATGAGCCACCCATATTGAAATTCAAAGCCCAACCCCCTTTGCCTTCTTTGGCCCGCTGTTCCCGCTGTCCCCGTCCGCTCCTCTCGGCGCAGCTGCACCGAGTACTGGGCCTGGGGCGCCAGGGCCGCAGCCAGGGCGCCCTGCTTCGCCACCACCTCGACAGCGGCACGGCCCATTGGGTGGAGTGGGTTTGCCCCGATCTTGCAGTTGGGACCGGTGGTTCCCATTCAAAGCTTCTTCAATTCCCGGTGCGCGTGGATTTTGTGCATGGGATGGTTCCTGGAGTGGAGGTTCTGAATGGAGCCTGGTAACCAGGGGCTACGGCCTACAGAAAGAAACACACAGGAAGGATCTCGGCTTTGGCTCCCTTGTCCCTTGTCCCTGCGAAACAGACACCGTTGACTTGACCAAAAGCCCAGCTGCATTGTCCGTTCTGGCCCTAATATTGTGTGATGTTGTATATTGCAGTTATGTGTGTATATACATACACTATTTATATTTATACATAATATATATATATACACAAATATTTTATATATTTAAATATGTATATATACATATATACATACATTCTAGTCAATGATCATGTTCAATTCTGAGACTTAGGGAGGGGCATGGAAAGTGTGAGAACCTGTGTGGGCTGCAGGTGAGACATTTTGTGTCGTAAGGGCAACCCACATTTGGTGTTGTGGCTCCCGCATCTACAATCCTGTCCACATGGAACCTGAGGTTTCGGGGTCTATGTTCGGGGGGGGGACGGACAAACCCAAAAAGGTTGGACCCAGATGCGTCACACCGAGCTGCCAGCTGCAACACCGACTCTGCTGCCAGCTGCTCCATCACCTACGCCAGGGTCACCAGGGGAGCAAGCAAACCATCCGGGAGTCCAGCTTGAGTTTGCAGAAATCTCATCAAAAAAGATGGGCCAAGGGGAGCTTTGAAGAATCTCATGTAAAAACAAGATGGGTCAAGGAAGCGTTGGGAGAGAAACGATCATTGAAAAACAAAATGCATCAAACAGCGATTGGAAAAAGGGAGCTTTCGAGCATTTTGGTACTTGAACTTTTGCCTCAGAAAAAGATTTGGTCAACATGCCCAAGCAGCAGCCCGCACATGGAGAAAGGGCGTTCGGCCTCATAAGAACCCGCTTCCACCTTGCAACCATTTGGCTAAGTTTAAGGCCTTACTCACTTGGACCCACTAAGTGGGGGACCTCGCGTCATCGGACTAAATCAGAAAAGAAGGGGGCACCTTTGAGACTGGTAAGGTCCTTCACCCTGCTTCCCTTCCCCCATGGCTACCAATGGCAATCCTGAGGGGCACCTGTAACCCCCCAAAGCTAGACTAGAACACTACACCAACAAATTTGCCGCCGACCCCAACAGTCGTATCAAGGGACCGCTTCGAAAAGTGTGGCGCATGGCTCTTTGCCTGGCCCCGAAGAATGCGGTGGTCACTTCTGAAGGGGGTTGCACCTTCTGGGATCCCAAACCCTAACTGGAAATCATGACGGTCCTCATCATACACAACCCCCCATGCCGTGCTTCTTGGCATGTTAAAAATTCGGGGATCCGTAGTCCTAATCCGAACCCGTACTCAGAAGGCTAGCGTCCAAAAACTGAAGGGGGTATCCACTTTTGTGGACGCCGAATCAACAAATCAAACAGCCTCAAAAAATCCAAGCTTTGTGCGTGCCATTTGGATGGCCTCCCACAATCACTACGGACTCCAACCCACAGCGTGGGAATAAAGGTGATACCAGATACCATTTGTTGACGATCCTCAGTTAAGCTCAGGTATTCTGCTTTTGAACCCATGAAATGAGGCATCCTGGGTTCAAGTCGACATGGGGAAGTAACCCCTGCTGTAGGTGTCCTTCCACCCTTTTGGTGCTGTTCTCAACGATTGTCCTTGTTCCCTTGCAATATGTGGGTCTCTTATTTAGCGTGCCCATTTTATTTGGGCTCTATAAATGGAAGCCAAAAGTCAGGGGGGAGGGAGCCCAAATCAGCACTGAATACAGCCTTACTAGTCTAAGGGCCGCCCCCCCCCCCCCTCCCTCCGGCCACCCATCACCCCGATTTTAGGGCACCAGAGGGGGAAAAACAAACAGCCTGACTCCAACACAGACCGAGCCGCCAGCTCCGGATGCTGTGCGCCGTTCACCGACACCACGCGGTCCCCAGGCTCCACGGCGCAGCTGGGGAACGCGGCGTTCCATTCCGCCACCAGACCCCGCCCTCGCCGAAGTCCCGTCGGAAGGTCGACGACAAAGCGCGATGTGTGAGGGTTGGCTCACTTGAAGAGAATCTGGTGGAAAAACTCCACTCTTAAACAGAGCGCGCTGGCCAACATCAAGTGTTGAGACTGCTTTGCTCAAGGCCAGACTCGAATCAGAAGAATCGCAAAAAAGAATGGCTTAACAACCATGGCCCCCGTGGAGAGTCGAAGGAGCTTGTTTGAAGACTTGCGACCCCCCCCCCTCCCCAACCCAGATTTTTTGTCGTAAGCTTAAAGAATGTAAAGAATCCCCCCTTCCAAATGGACCATAGGGTACTGGAATATTGACCGAACCCGAACGAGTACTTCCAACCATTCTGAACCGAGGGACCCAAATCTTTTTTAACCACCACAAGCCCTTGAAGGTGCCTTGAACCAGCACATCTGTGAAGCATCATAACTGCGGTTCTGCACAAGAGCCCAACCGTCCTTCCACCAAGCACACCGCCAAGCTCAGCCCATCAACGTGCATCCCCAAGTTCGTCTTGTGCGTCTTCTCCAGCCTGACACGGATACAAGCTGGCAGCTTTGAAGTGTGGCCCAGGATTCGCAAGCCAGAGAATCTGCCTCACAGGCATGTGTGCGTGGAGGGGGTTTGATTTGGGAAGTCGAGCCATTGAACGCGCACACATGCTGGCATTGAAAAGCAGGATGACAAAGTGTTCTGCCATCTTTCTGGAAAACCTATCGACTCGCCACCACTCCCCCGCCCAAAAAAAAGCACGCGCCTGACCACGATTGTTTTCTCCATGTTGGGCATAGCGGCGTGCAGCACATCACCACCAACTCAAAGAAAGCGCACACCCACACGCTTTTAAACCAAATGGCATCGAACATGCCTTGTCAAATGCACTGAGGTTCACATGAGCGCGCTCTGTTGATGAGAGCATTCGTTCTCGGTGACAACTGCGTTCGTTTTGGTGTCGTAGGCAACAGGCTTTGGCACACATACCATCGCACACCAGCGCCTTTGCTTGATAAAGGGTGATAAGGGCAAGGTTGATTTGACAGCGTCTGCAAACTCGCGACACCCCCGCCTTCTGTTGATTTTTGCTACATGCTGAGTCCCTTCTTGGCAAAACGGTGCATGACGCCGTCTATGTGCTGGCCCCCACATCGACTGCCAGCATTGAGCCGCACCAGGTGAGACCCGGGAGGCCGGCCTCCACACCAACGACCGCTGCGCGAAGGCAGCCGGCCGCACGGAAAATTAGAAAGCTGGCGCGTTGCGTGAGTATCATCGTTTTCGCACAAGGACCGACACTACGCGCCGAAATCCCAAAGATGAATCCGAACTTCTGGTAGGCTGTCAGCCCCTCTCAAGCGGCAAAGATCAACGCAGCGTACGGACGGCCAACTGCGATTACATGCCGTGCCCGGCAGTGAGCCTCCCCAAGTGTTTGTTATTTTTCTCGTCCGGGCACAGAGTGGCTACCGAGCGAGTAGCCTAGCTGGGCAAGCTGGCGAGGAGGTCGCTCATGTCTGGGCAGGGCATTTTTTTTGTCGCACCATTTTCCGTGCAGCGAGGGTGAGACATGTTGTTTTTCGTGCAAGCAGGGTGAAGCGCTTTTGGCGACAAGGGCGGAGGAGCCTTCCCCGCCGTCGTGCCGCCACGGCCCGGGGCCCATCAGCCGGCCCGCAGCGGCAGCCGGCTGGCTTCCTCAGCCTCGCCGAGGCGTGCGGCCGCCAGCACCTCGGGCCAGGGCGGCGCGGTGTTGCGCAGGCCACGCGGCTCAGCGAAGGCAAGCGAAGCTGCAGCGCACAACAAACCGGACCACCGGCGGACATAAGCAGTTCGAAGGGCAGGGGGAAGCGCCTCAGGCGCGGCTCGGGCTCTGGTATTATGAGGGGGCAGAGACAAGAGGCTGCCTCAGATCCCCAGCGGTCCGACCTCAACTCCGAGCATGCGGTCATTTTGGCTCAAACCACTTTGTTTCAAGGTCACCTTGGCCCCAAACAAAACGTGCAAAACAAAAATCAGGGGGACCGGCCCAATAAGGTCAACCATTCTTTTAGTGGGGGTTGAACCCTAGAAAAGTGCTTCGCAGAACAAAGATCGCCCGGAACGGTCCGGCACTGACATGTCCAGGCATAGCACGAGGGCCCGCAGCGCAGATTGTGTCAGCTTCAAAAAAGCAATGGGAAACAGGTACTGCAACAAGTCTGGGCTACGCAGTTGCGTTCAAGTGCGCGAAATCAAGGAAGCCAGCGAGAGTGCGCAAACCAGTTCTAGAGCTGCAGCAAGCACGATGAGTTTTTTTGTGTTTTGCGTGCTGAAGCGGACCATGTTCACTGATCGTGGCCGATGGTTTTGCTGCCCGTTCCTTTGCAAAACGGGCAAAGGCGTGGCCACGCAATGCGCAACATTGTGGACAAATCGAGGTTCCCTATATATCCCCTAAATGTCCCCTTGGTGTCGCTCGCCACACGACACGGACGGCGCTGCAGCCAGAGACTGCAAAGGTCTCATGGGAAACCGGCTCACGCGTCACAATGTGTGTCCCAAGGAGAAGGCGCATTATGAGTCATGAGATTCCGGTCGATCGCACATGGAAGCACAGGAGCACTGAATCATCGCTGACCGCGACGATGTGCTTGATTTGCCAGAAAATATGTCGCGACCTCTTTCGATCAGGCCGGCGCTCTGCATTCAGCGTAACTCGTTTCTCTTTGAGATGGACACGAAGAAGTAGGTTGGTTTTCAGAGTCTTTGTTTCTGAGGTTCTTTTCACATATCAGGCTAGTTTCATCACTTGGGTGGTTGAGGTTGGACCAATATGGGGGATTTGGATCCGAAGGCCCAAGCTCATTTGGGTCCCATTCCTTGGCCCACTCTGTACAATGTAAAGCCTGGGATCCTGTTGGAACCATAAAGACATGAACATGACCGACCAACCAACCGAGCAACCACCAAGCCAGCAATCGAGCAGGCTAGCAAGCAACCAACCGACCAGCCAACTCATCTCAGATCATCCTGGCCTGTGCCTAGAGTTTGAAAGCAATGAGGCATATCATCCAACTTGCTACCATACGTGGAGATCGCTGGAAATCCGCCCTGGACGTTTTCAAAACTGCGCCGTGCCGCAAACCAAAAAGGTGAGCGACGTCATCTTGCGTGGCGGCGCAAGTCACGAAGATCCAAATCGCCTGTCAGTTTCTCATCAAGGCCATGTCCACGCTTGGCTCTGCTGAAGCAAACTCCATCAGCATGGCCGCCGGTTCAGCCGTTGCACTGGGGAGAAGCCACCGCATAGGAATGCCAGTAGGGCTTTGCCTGAAAAGTCCCAGCCGTTCTCCAGCGAAATCGCCCTCCCGCACTTGTGGGAGTGCGTGTAGACCTCTTGTCCACCACCTGAAGCAGTTCTTGTACTTGTTGGGCAGATCTGCTTCACGCCCATTCCAGGCTTGAGGCTGCAGTGCTTTCTGTGGATGGGGTTGGTGCCTTTGACAACGTGTCACGGCGGGCCATGCTGGAGGCGCTGCGGGCTAACCGCTGTCTCCCGTTCGTCCGTTTGTTCTACGCCTCTGCGTCTGAGTTCGTGTGGCATGACTCTGAAGGCACAGCCCATACCATTTCTCAGGCTGAGGGGGGAGAGCAGGGAGACCCTTTGATGCCGGCCCTTTACTCCCTTGGCGTGCGGGACGCGCTTGCGGAAGTCCAAGCTGGTTTGGAGCCCAACAAGTTGCTGTTGGCCTACCTCGATGATGTTTACATCGTCGCTCGGCCCGGCCGCGTCCGCTTCCTTTTTGATCGCCTGTCTGAGACTTTGTGGCGCACTGCGTGCATCCGCCTGAACCATGGCAAGACGCGGGTCTGGAACGCTTCTGGCCTGGAGCCCCCTGGAATCTCCGCACTTGTTGTTGGGGAGGATCCTGTGTTTGTCGGATCGCCAGCCTTTGCCCCCGCCCAGCAGGGTCTCCGCGTGCTCGGCGAGTTTGTCGCAGCTCAGCTCGACGCACTCGCTGCGAGCCAGCGCACGCTCCTCGCTTGTCTTCCCACCTTGGAGGACGTGCAGGCTTCTTGGCTGCTTTTGCTGTTCTGCTGCACTCCTCGATGCAGCCATGTCCTGCGTTTGCTCCCACCTGAGTCCACGGCAGAGTTCGCGGCTGCTCATGACCTCGCTGTTGCGGACTGCTTGTCCACCCTGCTTCAGGCAGGCCCGTTGCCCGTGCAGGCGTTGGGCGTTGAAAGGTTGCCTCTTCGGCTTGGTGGTCTCGGTCTACGTTCTGCGGCCGCCGTCGCCCCTGCTGCGTATTGGGCGTCTTGGGCCGATAGCTTGCCTCTTCTGGAAAGGCAAACGCTTTCGCTTCTTCGGGCAGTCCTGCCCCACCTGAGCCTGCCTGAAGCCCATGCCCCCTCCTTGCGAGCTGCAGCCGCTGCGGCCCTCGTGCTGGCGGACCCCAGCTGGGAGCCCCCTACTTGCAGGATGTGTTGGCTGGCGCTTTGCCGGCCGCGCGCTCCGATGATGCTGACAGCTTGTTTCTCAGCGGTGACGCAGCCCGTGGGTGGCAGCGGCATGCCACTGCGGCCCTCGAAGGCCGTCTCTTCCAGCACCTGTCCCTCCACCTTGACCCCTCTGCGCGCTGTTGGAGTCGCAGCCTTCGCTGGCCGTGTTCTGACCGCTCTCCCCACCAGCCCTGAGCTCACCGCCCCCTCGCACCTTTTCCGGATCGTCCTTCTTCGGCGCTTCCGGCTCCCACTCCCCGTCACCGAAAACACCTGCCGGTGCCATCGGCGCAAGTTGGCTAGAAGGTCCCGGCGGGCTCAGCAGGCTGGAAAGACAGGACCTCGCACGGCAGAGCGGAGTACGGGGCCGCAGGTCGCCGGGCTGGGTCCCGAAGCTCGGCCAGGGTGGCCTCGTTGCCAGGCGCAAGCTCGCCCAGGTGCACAAGGCGGCGGGCCCGGTCAGAACTGCCAGCAGGGTCGCTCGCCGCCGGGCCGTGTGCGGCCTGGGGGTGGGGCAGGTCGAGGCCGGCCTCCGGCGGCAAGGAGCGCCGCACGTCAAGGAGTAGCTGGGTCCAGCGCACGTCCTGGAAGGCCGCAAGTCGCGCTCTCCACTCCTGCTTGGGGAGCCGGCGTTCCCCGGCTTTGCGGCATGCGGGGCAACAGGAGCCAGAGTTTCCAAGCTCGAAGGGCGGCAAGAGGGTAAGCTTCGGGGTCGCCCGCTTCCAGGACTGCCTGCAAAGCGAGGGAAAGAGCTTGGCGGACTTGACCTTTAACAAACGCAGGGGCTTGCCCGGGCGCACCGAGACCCCCCAGGCGCAAGGGAAGCTGCGCGACACGAGCGGGGAGAGCTGGCAAAGGGCCGCACTGCAACAAGTCCGACAAACAGTCCAGCAAGGCTGCGTCATTAGCAACAGCAAAAGCCGCAGTGAGGCCAGGCTGGGGCAACCCACATGGTTGCACCGAGGGGACGCGCAGAACAGCAACAGCAGCCACGAAGCCTGCAAATCCTCAAGGCCACGGATGCGCTGGAGCAGGCCGGCGTGGCTGGCGGACAGGCGCTGCAACTGAGCAGCAACAAACGCGCGGGAACCGATTGGCGCACCAAGCGCAACAAGCCCGCGGGATTCAGGGGCCAAGGAGTGGCAACCGACCCAAACAGAACCAGCTCCCGCATCGAGATCGCCGATCCCAGGCGGCACTTGGCCAGCAAAATTCCAGATTCGGGCCTTGCCGTGGTTCAGCTGGATGCGGGCGTGACGCCACAAGGCCGCAGCGAGGAGGTCAAGAACCGGTCTGACACGCTCAGGCTGGACAACGAAGTTGGTGTCATCCAGGAAGGAAAGCAGCGGCTCGCCAAATTGCGGAGA